GTGGATAAGTGGATGGGTAGGTGGACAGGAGTATGAGTGGATGGATGGGTGGCTGGATAAGTGGATGGATAGATGGGTGGATGGATAGGTGGATGGGTGGATTGATGGGTGGATGGATGGTAGGTGGATGGGTGGGTAGATGTGTGGGTGGATAGTTGGATGGGTAGGTGGATGGGTGGGTAGATGTGTGGGTGGATAGTTGGGTGGGGAGGTGGATGAGTGGATGGCATTTGGTCCGGGAAGCCGGCTCAGGGATGTTCTGCAGTGCAGACCGCGGCCTGCCCGGAAGCTGACGGTACCCGAGGTTCAAACGCTGTCTGGAGTCCAGCAAGTCCGACCCACAGCAGTCTCTCGCTGGAGCCCCGGGAACGCCCTGCCGGGCCCCGCGGGGAGGAACAACGCGCCTGCAGAGGGATCCGGGCGAGCGAACCCAGGGCCTTCTCTTTGACCTACATCCCCAGCTGCTTTTTTAGATTTTGAGACCAGGTCTGTCTAAATCGTTAGGCTGTCCAGAAGGAGCTGGAACCTGTGCTCCTCCTGCCTCGGCCTCCGGTCGTGCCCGGCTGCCCTGTACTCGATTCCGACGCCGCGCTGGCCCAGGCGCAGAGTGCAGGCTGTGAGGCTCAGAGAAGTTCCCAAGTGTCAGGATGGCCGAGTGGTCTAAGGCGCCAGACTCAAGGCGTATGCCTTCCCTGTGGGCGTTCTGGTCTCCGCATGGAGGCGTGGGTTCGAATCCCACTTCTGACACGTATGCTTTTATTTTTTTTTTTCTCCTTCCTGAGCCAGGCGCCTGCACGACCAGCTCGCCCCGCCCCGCGGCCTCCGTGGGCGACGCCGGCTCCTTCAGTGTGCGCCGGCAAGCGACAACCAGCGCCTCCCTGGTGGTCTAGTGGTTAGGATTCGGCGCTCTCACCGCCGCGGCCCGGGTTCGATTCCCGGCCAGGGAAGCTGTTTTGTTTTCTTCCCCGTGACCTAGCTCCGGTCTGCAGAGCCAAAGGAATGGATGAATGGAGGAGCGAGCCGCACCGGTCCTGGCAAGCGGAAGGGTGAAATTTCAGCTAACCTGTAAATCTGGGTTTAAATCTCCGCTGATCTTCCATCTGAACTGAAAGAAGCCTACAGACGTGAAAGCGCAACGGGAGCAGGAAAAACAGCCCGGGAATACGCAACAAACCCCCTCAGGCACGGATCTCCTGTGGTGCTTGTCTTGGAAGTTTTAAACGTTCTTCCTTATCATCTTCTGCGTGTGGGGAGTTTTCTCCTACAAGAATATAAAATTTGTTGGTAGAAAATATATTTTATTTGAAAAACTACTCCTGTCTTGTACAAAAAATAACTCAGGAGGAATGCTAGATTTAAACATAAACGAAACCACAAAACTTGCAGAGGAAGACAGAAAACCTTCAGGACCCAGCGCGCAGGTGCATTGCAGCGGGCCGGAATTCGCAGGTCTGCGTGTGAAAGACCTCCTGGGGACGACGGAGGCGGGTTGCAGAGGGCGCCGCGCACCAGTTCAGGCAGAGGCTTCTAACCTAGGGCGCTGGGAGATCTCCCCCAACGGTAGGAAGCAGACGCTCCACTGGAAAATGACACTCAGACACCCGGGGGTTCTTCCCCAGAGAAATATGCAAAGAGACGCTCGCGATTGTTTTAGTACCAAGTAGAGCCACAAGGAGATTTGAATACCATCTTACCAGAGTGGCTCGGATAAAGAACGCACCAGCAGATGCTGGCGAGAGACACCCAGAGCCTGCGGCGGAGCGTCAAGCGGGGCGGCTTGTCAGGAAGAGTGTGCTAAGGTGTTACAACTCTAAATCTGCACTTACCGTGGGGCCCGATCGTCACTCTCCTGGGCCTTTGTCCCCCAGAAATATAAACTCCTGTCCGCACAAAAACTTTCACAAGAATGTTCCTTGCACTGTGATTAGTGACAGCCCCAAACTGGATACAACCTGAAGTCCCTGTCTGGGTGAAGCTTAAGCAAACGGTGGTGCTACCACGCCACAGGGCGGTGCTCTGAAACCCTAGCTAGGTGGTCCGGCTGGAATCCCTGCATTCTGGGAGGCTGGGGCAGGAGGGTCACGAGTCTGAGCCAGTTTGAGCTGCTTAGCGAGACCTGTCTCAGAACAGAAAGCATCAAAAACCCGGGTTTAATCTGCTGGGTTTCATCCTCAGTACTGTTTTTTAAAAAGCTACTTAGCAATAAACACAAATATGTCGACTGATGCACAAGACAGTCTGATAGGCCTCCGAATTACACAGAGTAAAAAGTCCACCTCAAAAGCTCATTTACAGCACTGCCTGTAAGCTTAGCTCTTGAGAGGCTGAGACAGGAGGACTGCCTAGAGTTCAGGGCCAGCCCAAACTACATAGTAAGACCCTGTCTCAAAAATCCCCACAAATCCCTCGAACTCATAAGACATTCTAGAAATGACAAAACTGTAGTAACAGTAAGCACATTGGTGGTTGCCAGGGTTAGGAACCTTGGGGTTCAGAGAAACACACAGGGCATGCGGAGAGCGTGAGCGAGCTTATACAGAGGTGACACAAGGGAGATGTTTGTGCTGACGAAATTGGTCTGTGTCAGGGCCTGGGGATTTAGCTCAGCGGCAAAGCACCTGCCTGGCAAGTGCAAGGTCGTGAGTTTGGTTCCCGGTACAGCAGAAAAACTAAAAAAAAAAAAAAAAAAAAAAAAAAATTGCTCTGTATCTTCTTTGTGGTGGGCTTGCACTTGTGATCCTTCTATCTCAGCCTGCCAGAGGGTTAGGATTATAGGTGGGTGTCACCCTACCTGAGAGAGGGAGAGAGAGAGATCTTTTATTTGTTTTTGAGAGAGTCTCACTTTGTAGCCCACATTCGCAGTGATCCTCCTGCCTCAGGCTCCTGAGGGCTGGGATTATAGGCATGCACCACCACACCCAGCCATGATTATTTTTTTAATCACTGCTGCCTCCATGATAGGTAGCAAGAGACTGGGGGGACAGTGGTGGTGTGGGGCTGGGTGGCGGTACGGCAGGGAGGAGACGAGTGGTGGGGCAGTCGCCGAGTGCTGTCCGCACGCCCTGTGTGTTTCTCTGAGTTTGAGGCCATGCTGCTTTTTGCCAGAGCCATTTCTTGGGTTGTTTTAGTGAGCAATGGTGGGGGCTGAAATAGGTCTACCGCATTCCTCCCGAAGAGCGGGCCACCCAGAAAGTTGCCTGTGCTTGATGCTCCCCAGCTTGCGGGAGGCACCTGGAGCCCTCTCCTGGACCCCTTGGGCCCTGGGGACGTGGACTGTCCATGCTGCTAACTGGCCCGTGTGTCCTACTTAGGTCCTTTGTCCCTGAGCCTCGAGCCTTGTGTGTTAGAGTCCCCTTAGGACCAGACTCAGGGCAGGGCTCTGCTAAATGATGGGCTGCCCGGGCCCCTCATCTGTCAGCTCAGCCATCTCGTATCTCTCTGCCTCAGCGTTCTGATCTGCACCCGCTCCATCCATCTGTCTGCCTGTCCGTCCATCTGTCCCTCACCTCTTCATTCCTAGGGCTACCAGGAGGAAAGACTGGGGGCATGGGGCAAGTTACAGCCCTGGGTGCCTTGAGAATTTCATTCATTCAAACATATATTCTTTGCTGGACGTCTCCAAAGCGAGCTGCTAATTGTGTCAACAGCTCAAAAAGAAATAGAGCGCCAGAGCTGGAAGAAACGAGAGGATTTGGAATTAAATTTGAAGTTAGGTTCAAGTGCGAGTCACTGTGGACAGCACTAGTGACCAGCATTAAGCTCTGAGAGCCGGTCCCCCGCCCCCAAATACAGCGTGATACTAGAAAGTGCACACAGCTTGGCATGTAGCGCACTGTCAGCCACGCAGCTGCCGCCAGGTACCGAAGTTCCCAACTTCCTGGAAGAGTCACAGTCGCGGGACGTGGGGAGGGGAACAGGGCCAGACCCGGATTAAAGCAGTGAGAAAGAGCAGAGGACCCCGGACGAGGGCCTGGAAGGCGAGGACCTGGCTTTCAGCACCTGACCCTGGGATTCACTGGCCCTTTTTGCCCTTTTTTTTTGTTTTGATTTTTCTCCAGTACTGGGACTCCAACTCATGACCTTGCGCTTGCCAGGCAGGCGCTGTGCTGCTGAGCTAAAGCCCCTACCCTAGGATTCATTGGTCACGGTGGTGTCTACCTGATTGGCTTTGGGGTCCTGGGAGATGGTGGAGCACTCTGGGTGGGTCTTGTGGGTGCAGCCTGGGGTCCCCCCCTGTCTCTCACCCCTCCTTGTTGGCATAGGTCCCCTGCTCTGTGCCTGGCTTTGGTCCACCGTGCCCTTCTGCCATGGTGGTTTTGCTTGGGACTGGCTGATCTTTTAGGTCATGGGTGTGGGTGCTATGTCTCAGGGATGAGAAAGCTAATAATAGCTGCCACCCCGAATGGAGATAAAACACTTGGTGATAGCCTTAAACTCAACAAATGCTTTACTGTTTTAATGACCACATCACATGTTCTTGTGGTTGAGATATTGTCAAGGCACAGGTGGTTAAGTGCTCAGAGACGCCATCCTCTGGCCTCAGGTGGCACCTCTGGTCTGGCATCCTTGAGCAGAGGTGGAGATGAAGTGAGAGGGTGAGTTCGGAGACCTTTCCTGGTGAACCCAGGTGACTGGATCACGCTGCTGGGTTGAGCTGGCTATAGCTCGTTTTTGGAGGAGGGATCTTTGGCGGGCCTAGGGCCTCCTTTCCCGGCCAGGTCTGCAGCTGCGTGGATGCTCTGGGCTGTCCTGAGCCCAGACTTGATGGCTGTGTCGATCCAGCCGTGGGGCAGGGCCGTGTGCTCGCCTGCGAAGTGGATCCGCCCCTCCGGCTGGCTGAGCTCCTTGGCGTAGTCCACATATTGGTAGGGGGTGAAGAAGGCAAAGCCACCCATGGAGTAGGGGTCGTGGCTCCAGTTTTTGACAAAGGAATAGGGGCACAGGGCCCGGAGCTCCTCCTTGAGGCGGTCATGGACCGCAGCCAGGTCCTCCAAGACGATATCTACCACCCGCGCGTGGTCCATGGCGGAGAAGAACCTGGCGTCGTCGTCCAGGGTGTAGGAGGCCAGGATGACGCCCACGCCGTTGGGGAAGGCGTGGTTGGGGTAGTAGATGAAGCGGGAGGGCCGGTCGGTGACGGACTTGCCGCTGCGGATGCCGTCCCGCTCCCAGAAGCGCTGGGTGCAGGCCAGGATCACCTTGGTGGCGCTGTTATAGTGGACCAAGCGCAGCGCGTCCTCCTTGCTGAGGGACAGGGGTGGCCGGAAACGGAGGAGCCGGGCGGCCTTGGCAGTGGTGGCCACCACCACGAAGTCGGCAGTAAGGTGAGCCCGGGGCCTCAAGGGGTCGGGCGTGCGGTAGGTGACCCGGACGCCATCTCTGGACGTCTGCACCTCCAGTGCAGGCGAGTGGAGCCGCACCGTGCCCGGCTGGAGGGCGGCGTGCAGGGCCTGGGGCAGCTGGTCGAAGCCCCCGATGATCTCATGGAACCTGAGGGCGGGAGGGAGGCAAGGGAAGGGGTTGGGGGAGGAGGTGTGGCGGCACCCAGTGGGACCACGCGTCAGGGCGCAAAGGGACTGGGGCCAGGGGGCAACTCTTGGCTCGGGGAGCCCAGAGAGAGGCTGCTTTGCGCTGATCCAGCAGAAAAACGCAGTCGCCCTCGCCCAGCCCTCCTCTCCTGGGTTGAGGCTGGCGGAGACTCTTCCGAGGTGCTCAGCCCCTCCCACCACGGCCTCAGAGAGCCCAGCGCAGGGTCCCCAGATGCAGCTTGCACACCTCCGACACACCTCCGACACCCCTTGTTCTGCCCTCAGACTGCCTTGTTCCCGCTCCCTGTGGTGGCTTTGGCTTGAATCTCAGTGGATTAACCCTGAATCCCAAGGTGGACGGCCGGGAGGAGGAGGCCTGTGTGCCTCAGTAACCCGTACTCCTGGGACACAGCAGAGGGGTGCATTCTCAGGCCCTGGCTCTGCGGACGACAACCCCTGTCTGTGTGTAACAAGCACCCTCTCCCCAGGCTCACTGGAATTCAGAAAGCCTGACTGCCCCTCTCTGGCTCCCACTTCTTCAGGGATATCCCCTGGTTTATTTCTTTCTTCTCTGAGGTAGAATAGAAGAAATAAATGTAGGTAGAAAGGAGACAAGGAAATCAGAAGTTTGGTTGTTTTTTGGGGGGACAGGGTCTTGCTAGGTAGCCCAGGCTGGCCTGAACTCACAGCAGTCCTCCTGCCTCAGCCTCCAAGCACTATGGATGAAAGGTGTGTGCCATCACACCTGGTGGAAATTGGAATTTTAAAACTGTACTTTTAAGAAAAACTGCAGTTTAGGACACAAAAGTTACTCAAGCCCTTTCTCTTCCAGGAAACTTGGCCAAAAAAATTTCCCAAGGGCCTTGCAGACACCATGAGGCTGTGAAGTGGGCCCTGGGCCCCGGGTTTTCATCTGTGAGTGACACTTCCGCCTCCGTCCCCACCCTCGAGGAAGCAGCAGTACAAGTGGGCAACGGGTCTCAGCCTGACACCCAGGTACATGGTCTGCACAGTGACATAACCCAGATGGACAGCTGGACAGACGGCAGGACGCACACACCACGTCGCCCATTGTGAAGTCACCACAAGCCCCATGAACACACCCGGCTCCGGTCCTCAAGGCCTCTCTTGCAAGCCCACTGTCTAGTGCTTTGTGTCCTTTTCAGTATATGCCCAGGAAATCCCTTTATGTCCCTTACCGACGTGTCCTAAAACTCCTTTCTCTGCGATGGGAGTCAGCAAGCCTCCACTTAATTCTCTGGTAGGGTGGGTCAGGGAGCCGCCTCCCAGGGTCCCGTCTGTCCCGTCCTCCCGGTGACCGCCCCCCCACCCGAGCCCCTGCCCCGCCCCACTGCGCACTGGGGCTCGTGGAAGAAGATGAAGCCGCGCAGCGTCTCCATGAAGGCCTCGTAGTAGCCGGAGTCCGCGTTCAGCACATCCCCGATCATCTGCACGGCGCCGCGGCTCAGGTTCCCCACCTTGATCAGGTACTCCTGGGGCGCAGGAGGGAAGGCAGGCGTCGGGCACAGGCAGCCGCGAGAGGCCCCGCTGCCCACCCGCGGCGAGGAAGGGAATCCCGGGGCGCCTGCCCAGCTCCAGTGTTCAGTCCTGATCCGAGGGGCGGTGGCCGACCAGGATGGCCTTCACCCCGCAGGCCCTTCTCGCGTGAGCCCTTCTTCGCATTCACCTCCCGGGGGAGAAGGAGAAGCCCTGAATCACACACACGGGCTTCAATAGCTCCTGGGTAAGAAACCCAATGTGTAAATAAGTGAAAGGGCAAAATGAAAGACAGATGATAGGAAACCGGGCGATAGGCCCTTTGCATATAGGGAGGGGAGTGACAGAAAGGGGAGGAGAGGCGGGGTGAAAAGGGAGCTGTGTCACACAGCTCAAGGAATGAGATCAGTACGTGCTGCGAACCAGGGCTTAAGCTCAAATGGCTTCCAAAAAAAAAATGGGGACACTGAGGCACAGTCTTCGCTCATCTGCACGGACGGCTCGGCCAGTCCTGCTACCTGCTGCTGGCCTCACTTTCAACCCATCGCCTGTGCCCTGGCTTCTCTGCCACGTGGGACCTGGAGGTGCTGTGGGGCCCGCTGGCAGCCACTGTGCCCTGCGCTGCCCTCTGACCCTTTCTCCAGCCAGGATCAGAGTGGCCATGGCCAGGCTGGCTGTGAGAGCTGCACTGTGAGCGTGGCCGGCCGGCCCATCTCCCAGGCCTGCATCGGTCTCCTGGCACCAGGGCAGTGGTCTGAAGGCGCTACAGGGGTGGCTGGGTGCACCAGCCCGGTGTTAGCTGGGTACCTGCCTCTGCACACATCTGACTCAACATGACACACCTGCAGGGCACCCCCGTCCGGGCAGAGCAGCCTCAAGAACCACTAGGAAGCCAGGTGTGGTGGGGGAACTCCTGCGGCCCTGCACTCTGGGCGGTAAAGGCAGGAGGGTCGTGAGTTTGAGCCCAGCCAGGGCAACTTAACAATTGAGTGAGACCCTGCCTCAAAAGAAAAAGTAAAAAGAGGGCTGGGGATGTAGCTCAGTGCAAAGGCCCTGGGTCCCCAGCAATCTCCAGCAATGCCTAAAGAAAAGTACTTGAGGACAGGCTGTGTCTGTGGACTTCAAAGTCAGGCTACAGAGAAGTGCGGTGGGTGAACCAGATCAGAGATCTCCGGGGCATCCTAATTCCCCAGTCCCCACAGCGCGTCTCCCTCGATTTGCTCTGGATGCTGAGCACACAATGGCCGTTCACTGGCAGCAACAAGACTTGGACCCACCAAGTCTCTGACACAGCAGCCCAGACGGGAAGCTGCAGCCTCTGCTGGCTAGCATGTGCTCAAGGACTGTCTGCTTCTGCTTTCCGCGTCCCTGCCCCACCCTGCTTTCACCTCAGGACCTCGGGAGCCAAACACGCTCCCCGCTGACCGCACGGGCACCTTTCTAGTGCCAGCTGCTGCCAGGCAGGGCACAGTGGACCCTTCCCTGCAGGGTTGTGTACTTGTGGGCTGTGCCGGGGATCGAACCCAGGCCCTGCACCAGCCGGGCCGGTGCTGGGCCATGGAGCTCCCCCTACAGCCCAGCCTCCCCCACTTTCCAGGACCGTCGGGTCTGTGTGAGGGTGTCCCCATCAGCGATGACAGCTCGTAGCCAAGGGGCCCCGTGCCACCCGCCAGCGCTCCCTGTCCCACGGGGCTCAGCTGTCCCCAGCCGCTGCTGCTGGTGTCAGTGGTGACTTTGGCACGGCTATGAGTCACAGAAGGGTGCTTTTCTGCGACGCAACCCCTGGGTCTGTGCTGCAGGGTTGTGTAGGCTTTTTCTCTCCCCTAGGCTGCCTGGCTGGACCCTGCCAGAACGGGCTGCTTCCCTAGGCACTGCATGAGGCGCTAGTGTCAGGTCAGGCTCAGCCTTAGCCTGAGTGTCAGAGCTTCCACGTAGCTGAGGAGGCGGAGTGCAAGAGATCCCTCATTGTTGGGGCCGTGGTCCTGTGACGGGGCGGCGCAGGGCGCGAGGTCCAGGGCTGACCTTGGTGGAGAAGGAGTCGTATTTCTCCAGCACCTGGCGGCAGCTGCTGCTCTTCAGCTCTTCCTCGACCTGGGCATGGAGGAGGAGGAGGAGGAGGAGGAGAGAGGACAGTGGTGAGGCTGCAGCCCTGCCCGTCCAGCCCCCGGCTGGCCTTGCGTCCACCTGTGTGGGAGCCACGCCACGGTGAGCCCAGGCCCCACGGTGCCCGCAGGACAATGGTGCGCTCAGAGGGCAGAGATGCCACCTCCACTCTCGGGCACACTACCAGGTCTCCGGCAGCCTCAGAGGTCTCAGAAGGGGATGCTGTCGCTTTGTCCTGTGTTGAGGACATTCTTTGATTTTGGACCAAGAGTCTTTAGGTTTAAGGAATACTTTATACCTTATTTATAGTGACCAGGAAATATGGAGTGTGGAGAAAGAATATAAAAATCACAAAATGCAGCGTCTTTTAACCAAATGGATATCTGACAGAAAACAATATTTAGGCAAAAGTAATAAAATTGCTAGACAAGCTCCTGCTGCGTGGACTAAGTGCTGCTCTGAAAGTTATTACCAAGAGCAGTCTGGAGGAAAGCGAGCTGTGGAATGAATCAGGTGACAGAAATCACATCACTGATTTTTCTTAAGTGCCATCATGATATTTCCTACTGATAGACTGTTCTCTTGTTTTATAAATATATTACTTTGAACCTAAGTGCCCTCGTCTCTGTCATTCGCATTTCTGTATGGGATAAAGACATTCTCGTGGCCCCCGAGGCCGTTGTGAATGGCGGGTGACGGGTCTGAGGGCTCAGGGGTTATCGGGGCCGTGGCTGATGACACTGCGGAGCGACCTGCCAGGGCTCCCTCTCCCATGGGGCTCAGTTGTCACCCGAGGTCCCTCTGGGCCACAAGTCATGGAAGACAGAGCACTGTCAGTGCCAGGCCGACACTAGGCACATAGACCCTGGCAGGCCGGCCTTGGCTCGTCTCCTGGACCACAGACCTCCCATCAGGACAACTCTGATTTGCGCGCTGGCTGTGGCCTGGCGCGGTCCTCACAGTGTCCGCCCTCACGCTTTTGTCTTCCTAAGCAGTAGGATTGCTCAGTGCAGCTGGGCAGGGCGAGGGCAGGCGTCCCGCCCGGGGTCACCCAGGGGATTCGAGGGTCCCTCGGCCTTAAGCTTGGACCTGCCATGGTGATTTCAGCAGCCTCAAGCTTGCACTTGGTTGCCCAGGTGGGGTCCCAGAATGCACGCTGGCACAGGCTTGGGAGGGACAAGCCCAGGCTGGGAGGACGCCAACGGCCAGGGTTCCTGGGAGGATCTCTCGGAGAATCAGAGCCCCTCGGGCATGCATACACCACTGCCCCGTAGGAAGCCACAGGCTGCCCCTGCCTCGGCTTACCTTCCGCAGTGACTCCTCAAAGAGCTGTTCGGCTGTCTTCCCGGCCTCGCTGGGTCTGACCTTGTAGCCCAGCAGGTCGGGGTTGGCCTGCACGGCCCCCAGGCGCTGCCGTACTCTGTTCACCAGCACCCAGGTCTGGTTGTTCGAGGGGCAGAAGTCCCTGAGGGTCAACCTGGACTTCCGGATGAACTCGCGAGACAGCCTGTGTGGGGAGACGCGGACAGTGGGGCCGGGATGAGCAGCAACTGCCTCCCTGACTCCTGGAGTGCTGGGGCCACCCCACACCTGCACAGAGGGACCAGGGTCCCAGCCGCTGGGCTGGGCTAGTGGCCATGCGGCCAGGAGGGGCCTGTTCCTGCGGTGATGCCATGTCTCCTGGCCCTCCGTGCTGGCCAAGATCTCCCCCACTTTATCGAAGACCTGAAGACTTCATTTCCTCTTTTCTTGTCTTTTTGAGGCAGGGTCTCGCTATGCAGTTCAGGCTGGCCTTCAGCTCACTTTGTAGCCCAGGCTGGTCTCGAACTTGCGACGATCCTCCTGCCTCAGCCTCCCGAGTTCTGGGATTACAGGCGTGCGCCACCATGCCCGGCAGAGACTTCAGACCTCCAGACGTGACTATTCCAGGTCCTCGGCATCCAGTGGAGGGTGCACAGCGATGTCCCCTGGGCTCACCCTTCCCGGTGGCCTCCTGACCCCAGGCTCCCCAGCGATCACACTCTCCTGCGTCCCACTAGCAGCAGACCCAACAGACTGCCCGCGACTTTCTGGGGCTCTCCTCCCGCAAGCTGCGGTTGCCCTTGGCACAGTGTCCCTAGCAGGCGGGGCAGGTGTGTCCAGGCCGGTATGTAAATTAGAGCATCCAGACTGGGAAGCTCCAAGGGAGCCGTGGAGCTGGGAAGTGAGCCGGGACTGGTCCTCACCCCTTGGCTTCCAGGAAAGGACTCCACCCCTCGCTGCCCTCTTGACCTCCGGGCTGGTAGCCCGAACCCTGGGCTCCTCATCCGTCCCTACTTCTCGCAACCATACCTGTGGTTCACAGGGATCCTCATGGCGCCCAGCTCTATGTACCAATCCGCTCCAGGAACCCGGTGGGTCTCTATTCTGCCACCTACACGCCCTGTGGCCTCCAGCACAGTCACCTGGAAAGAGAGTCCTGACTGGAGGTGGTCGTCACACCCCCTGGTCCCCCTAGGCAGGGCCAGCTGCTCCCCCTTGAGCCTTTCTGAGGTGTTCCTTGGCTCTTCGGGCAGCCACCTGCTTTCCCGCCCCTTCTGCCCTGGCCGGAAGCCCAGCCTGGCCTCTGTCTCCTGTGCCCTGGGAATGTCCACTTTCCACCTCCCTCTCAAGCCTGAGTCCTCACAGGACTCCGCAAGCCCATGTGTACCTGGTGGCCAGCATCTTGCAGGGTCTTGGCCACGGTGAGCCCAGCCATGCCTGCTCCAATGACCACCACCTTTTGGGTGTTCGACGTGAGCCTCAGGCCCTCCTGAGCCAGCTGCATCAGCTCTTCATACTGGGGGTCCTCAAAACACTTGACCAGCCGGGGGTGGAAGGCCTGGGTCCACTGGTCCAGCACACTCAGGAGGGCGAGAGCCAGCCATCCTGGGGACATGGCTGAGGAGACAGCAGTCAGGCGAGTGGCTGGGGACAGAGACAGCCTGTCTGAACGCTTGATCTGAGCAGGATTTATCACTGACCTGTGATGCAACACCCGACACTCCTGTTTCCTTCCTCCCCTATCACAGTGTGCGTTAGTCATGGGGCTCCCCGGCCAGCCTCCATGGGCTCCATGGCCAGTGATGTTCCTTAGGGACCAGTGCCTCAGTCAGGGCGAATCTCTCCCAGGGACCTGCCCTTCCCCTGGCCAGCTGGACTGTGATGCAGGAGGCCGAGCCCTCAGCACAGCAGAGGAAGGTGTTACAGTCTATTTCTAGGTGTCCCCCAAGCCTGGTGCACTCACAGGCCGGGCCTGTGGAAGGTGACTGAGTTATGTGGGCTCATAAGGGACGTGCTCTCGGGAAGGGCTCTGGCTGGAAGGGGAGGGTCGCTGTGCTGTGAGTGAGGCCTGGAAGGCTGCATCTCCCTCCTGGCTCCTCCCTGACTCCCCCGCTTCCTGCCCACCATGCTGTGAGCCGCTCTCCTCTGCCAGGCCCCTGTGCCCTGCCGCCCTGCCAGGGAGCCAGGTGACCATGGACCGACACCTCCGGAAACCGTGAGCCAAAGTAAACCTGTCCTCTTCGAGTTGTGGGTACGGGATGTGTGTGCAGCGACGAGGAAGGTGACTAATGGAGCAGGTGAGGCGCTCGGCCCACCGAGCTGGGTTTGCTGGGGAGGGAAGGCTTGACTCATTGCAGCTGCGGCAGGACCAGGTGAGAACGGAGAGCCTGAGGACACGGTTTAATAATCTGACCCGCTCTGAGCCGTGCCTGGTGGGCCACTGCCTCTCACTGCAGGGGTTATCGTGGGGCCATCGGAGATGCCCAGGCTCACTGCATTTAAGGAACTCACCCGACCTGAGCCTTGGCTCCCACTGGCATCTCCTGAGGGCTTCTCTCCTGTGATAGTCAGCCCTGAGGAGGAATGCCTGGCCTCCCTGTCAGAGCCTGTACAGTGTGTGTGTTTTCGGATTGTTCTTTTTTTTTTAAGCTACCATCTGTATTTGCGGCTCTCCCTCCAGCGTTTGCACATCGAAGCTTTAACCCCATTGCTCTGCTGAGAGCGGCCGGCCTTTGAAAAGGCAACCGAAAACAACCGTCTGGGGGGATCCTGCTGCATTCCCTGCGAGGGGAGGAAATGCCGCTCGAGGCCGGGCAGAGGAGGAACGGTCGACAGGGCGAAGTGGGCAAACCTAACCCTCACAAGAAGCCAAACTTCGTGGCCACACCTCCAATGGACGTCCAGCCCCCACCATGAGCAGGTTGTTCTCTCCGCTGTTGACATCCCACGTCTGAGGGATTTTGTGACGGCAGCCACAGTGGAGAAGAAACGGTGCAGAAGAAATGGGGTGGGCTCCTGCTGGACTCTCTCGGGTCACACTCGTCGTTACAGATCTTTGAAAAACACGCGCGTTCATTTTCCTACCAAGATTCGTTGCTTGCTTTTTGAAACAGGGTCTTACTATGTAGTTACGGCTGGTTTTAAACTCATTAGGATGCCCAGGTCAGCCTCCAGCTTGCAGCAATCCTCCTGCCTCAGCCTCCCAAGTGCTGGGATTACAGGAGTGTGCCACCACACCCAGTTCATTTTCCTCGCCCACACGGTTAAGTTGTGAATGTACACAGTCATCTCCGATTTCAAGATTCATATTTAGCTGGAGTCACCTTTCTCCTGTGGCCTGTTCTAGAAGTGGCGTATGCCTGGGACAGGACCTGAGGCAGGCCTGTGTGGCCTCCTTTTGGACATCCGGCTTGGGGCTGCTCTGTTCCCCATCCTGCTGGGTTTGGTCTCCACTTGAGCCCAGTCCTGTGGCCTGGCACCCCCACCATCTCCGTCCTTAGGACTGATAGTTTTGTCCCACGTTTGTCCCTGCACTAGGTTGGATATGTTGAGGCTGCAGTTCAGCCTCTTAAGCAGCTCTTTTCCTTTCTGTCACATTGCTGTTCAACAGGTGACAATATCTGCACTGATCTTTGGGGTGTGTTAGGGCACCCGAGCCCACGCGGTGGCTCCTGGACATGTGTGATGTCACCTGCTCTGGTGCCCAGGCAGAGGGCCACTCCAGATGTCCCCTGGGTGGGTAGCAAGTCTTAACACCCAAAGGAAGGACACAGGATATTTGCTGCTCTGTCCCTCTACAAGGCGGCAGATGCAGGTCATCAAGGAAGCACACCAGCCCTCCCCTGGAGGAGCACGGCCACGCAGGACTTCCCCGGCACATGCTGTTCCCTGACTCACTCTTGGGTCTGCTGGTCCCTGTCCAGGCACCAGACATTTCATACATTTCCGGGAGAGACATAAAAGAAATATCTGCTTCTGAGCTGAGAGGCTGCTGTGGTCCCGACTGGCAAGTGACTGAGGTTATCTCGGGTCCTGAGGACTGTGATGGCTTGTGGGCCAAAGCACCCTGAAGGCGCCAGCCCGCCTTGTGAGGCCCACACTGGAGCTGTAGGGCTCAGGACAGCCAGCGCAGCAGCAAAGGCTAGCAGGAGCTTGCGGCTGTCCCATGGCCTCCGTCCTACCCTGGCCTGAGGGGGCTCTGCAGGTCTGCACGAGCGCCATCTGGTGGGGGCAGAAGGCACACAGCCGCCACACTGATAGAGCGGCCATCGCCAAGTGGTGCTGCGTCCTCTAGGTTCACAGGACAGGCCTCGCCACATCTGTGTTCTGTCTTCAGCCAGAAATCAGTCCCTACTGCACAGACCCTGGCTCCCAGGAACACGCAGCCCAGCTGTGGGGTACAAAGGTGCAGGGACAGACAGATGCAAGGGCCGGCGGTGGAGAGGGTAGGCAGGTGAATGCTCAGGTGAGTGGGGAGGAAAGGTGCACTGACACAGGATCTGGGGCCCGAGATGCAATCCTCTAGCTGCTGCAGCTCCCTACAGCTTTCAGGCCCATGGGGCAGGGCCTTACCCGGACCCGGCCTCGCCCGGGGACCCTCTGCCCACCTTCGCCTGCCTCCTGCTGCCCTCTGGGAGCTTGTGTATCTCCATCTTTCTGAATCCTTTTAGTGTGTGTGCGTGCACACACACACACACACACACACACACACAGCAGAAGCCAGCCTTTCTGCACCCCTAGAATCCATCCATCTCTTTTTTCTTTAAAGGATGGAAGTGGGACGTCTCCCTTTTTTTCTTTTTTGAATTTAGGAGACAGATCTGACTCATTTTGAAATCCGAAGTCTTGGCCCTTTTCCTCCACGCTCTTGTGATGTTCATACTGATTGATTAATTAGCGTGCATTAGCTGCACCTAGTCATAGCACTCAGCGTGATGGAACACACGCACAAAGGCTGTGCCGATCATCTTCACGGCATTGCTGCATGGCGGGAAAATGCTGTTTGAAACTCTCAGCAGTTCCATCCCGTAAAGACACTGAAAGACACTGTGTCACTGGGCCTCCAGGAAGCACACAGGCTCGAGCCATTTTCCCCAGGGTGGAGGACATCCGGCAGGGCCCTTCCCCTTCCTGGCACTGGCCTACCTGGAAGAGCCTGGAGTGGGGACAGAGAGCTCCTCCGTGCCCTGGGAGGAGAGAATGAGGCATCTGTGAGTGCTAGGAGCTGGAGGAAACTGACACCAGGAAGCATGTGAGGGCCTGGGTGACACACAGGTATCTACTACTTGCAAAATAAGGAAGCTAACAACAGCCTCTCCACCTGTCCTTTCCCCTCGTGAGCCGAGCAGCCCTGCCTTAAAGAGTTTTATGTCCTGTCGGGAAGCAGAGGCCATGGAGCAGCCCAGGGGCCTGGGAGTCGGGAACCTGCTCTCCCTGCCTATCCCGAGTGGACTCCAGGCTGGGAGTGACGCAGTACACTGTGGGCCGAGTGACTGAGGAGCAGCGGTGGAAACCACACAGCCTAGATCTTCAACTGCAAGAAATGGCCACTCATAGGAGGAAAGAGAAAAAGGAAAGCTAAAAGCTGATCTCAGCCAGGGATATAGCTCAACAGCATAAGCACCTGCCTGGCAAGCACAAGGTCCTGAGTTCAATTCCCGGTACCAAAAAAAAAAAAAAAAAAAAGCTGATCTCAGAGCAGAAGGGAAAAAACCTTGATTCCTAGAGGCTGGGAGGGTAGAGAAGGAGGGTCGTGGAGGTGCACGCAGGAACCCGTGGGATGGAGTCTAGGGTTAAAGCGCTCTATTACCAGGTGCAATAAAAAAAATGGCACATGCGCATTCCAGTAACAGATACACTGGCATTCCCTCCCTCAGCGTCTACCCCCTTGCTCTGAACATTCTTATCCCACTATTCCCGGATACTGTCTGCAGCAGCTCTGCAGTCCTTGTTCCTGAGGGTCTGTAGTTGTGCTGTTCAAAAGTTTCCCTGTCACGGTCATTTTGACTTTGGGGAAGAGCGAGAAGACACAGGGCACCGGATCCGGTGACTAAGTGTCACGTTTCTACGAGCTGCCTTTCTGTTGGGTGGTGCTCGGCGGCAGCGTCCACGTTTCTGGTCACACTCAGAAAGACATGCGGGAAAGAGCACTCCAGAACTGCTCCAGAAAGTGGCAGGAAGGTGGGCTAAGTGCGTTTGAAGTGAGGGGGGGATTTGGGGAGGGATTCATGGCAGTGCGTCTTTTATCACAATAAGTTTGAAAACACTTTTTTTTAAAGCTCTCACCACGTTTTCCAGTCACACCTCGTATCTCCGTCGCTGGCTTAGGAAGCCAAGCGTGGGGGATGGGACGCGGAGACTGGGAAGGAAGTGTGACCAGGGTCCAGCGGCTCCATCCGGCTCCTCACTAAATCTCAGCCTGGCTCTCGGGTCCCCAGAGGAGCTGGAGCTCTGAGGTCCATCTGAGGGATGTGGGGACAACCAGGGCTTGAATTTAGCAGAGGAGGACCCAGGCTTTGAGGAGGGAGGGTCAAAGAGATGAAGCTAGCTAAAAAGCAGAAAAGGAAAATTAAAAAAAAAAATTAATGTATTGAGATATGGTGTTGCTATGGAGCCCCGGCTGGCCTTGAACTCCCAGATCTTCCTGCCTCAGCCTCCTGAGCCCTGGGATCATAGGTATGCGCCACCACGCCCAAATTAAACATGTATAAATTGTACTTTTTAAAACTGCATCTTCAAGACACAGAATTATCCAGTCACAGTGCTTTTATTCCATTCCAGGAAACCTACTCAAAACAACTCCTGAGGGTCTTAAACATACAATAGACCTATACATCGGTCGAGCTCCTTGGCCACGAATCGCTCCTCGAGCGAAGACTTGGTCCTCAGGACAGCAGTGCTGCTGGTGGGCTGCCGGCTCTGAACTCCTGGCCCGGCAGACGCCGGCCTGACAGCACCCCGACCCTGCCGGCCCCAGCCCACCGCCGCCGCTCAGCCGCGCCTGCAGGGCCCGAGGTCGGGGCCTCCCGCC